GCAGTCAGAGCCCAAAACCGGAAGAGGGAGCAGATGTCATGAAGATGTTAGCGGATATGCTCAAGCCGATGATGGAGCAACTCGATGGTATTAACCAGCAACTGACCTTGCTAAACCAAAACTTCGCTCTACGGCAGCGCCAGCTGGCAGAAACGGAGAAGAAAGTGGAGCATGCGACTGAGAAAATTACAGAGATGGACACCTCAAACAAGAAAATGAAGAAAAGAATGGGAGAAGTGGAAACAAAACAAAACCTCCAAGAAAACCGTCTGTTACAGCTGCAAATGGAAAAGGCCAACATGATTCTCAGATTCCAGGGAGTTCCTGAAACTGAAAAAGAAGATTTGAAGAAGACTATGGGCGAGATTATTGCTCCAGTAACAGGCTTGCCAGCGGATGAAATAGTAAAAGATATGGAGACTGCCTATCGGACTTACTCCAATTATATTTTTAAAAAAACAGCCTGCCTGGAGACATTGTGGTCAGATTTGCAAGAAGACAGACCAGAGATGCTATATTAAAGGCAACCTCAGCAACTCCACTGAAATTGGGGAATACGTCCATTAAGACTTCAAAAGACATTCCATTTGAAATTCGTCAAAAGAGGAAAAGCTATAAGGATTTAATCTCTTTACTTCAAACCAACGGAATTCAGTACCGGTGGGCGATCCCTGAAGGTGTCATCTTTAAAATTAACAATAAAAGAGAGAAGATTAACTCCATTTTTAAAGCCAAGGAATTCTTGAGACGTCAGCTGGGATCAGGGGAAGAATTCAAAGACGAAGAAACCAAATCAAGTGACTCTGCCACCTCTGGAACGGAGGAGGGCTCTGTGGTAGAAATGGGTGCGGGAGCAATGAAAGTTGCTTACAATTTCAGAGATAGAAAACCGAAGTAAAGGCAGAAGGACTTTGAAAACCACCTTTTGAAGTAAAGAAGATGCTCAGAAAGCTCTCATAACAACTAACATACTAACATAGAAGCTGTGAAAAACAAGAACTTTACAAGTATATTGTTTTACTAACACTTTAATTACTATCATTTAGTTTAACACGGATATGATCTCCTTCTCTTGGGTTTTTAGTTAGTGTGGGTTTCTTTTCTTTATCCATAGTTGTAGTCCCCCTCCCTATATTTCTTTGTAGTTGTATAGTCTTATGAAAAATAATAAAAATATCCCTTTGGGGGTTTCAATAAAAAAATTACAACAGATTCTCACATTCTGAAAATTCTTTCCAAAATGGCAGCTTTATAGGGTGGACTCTGTGTCCTCACACATACCCCTAAGTTCCCTCCCCAGGTACTGCTCCCAAATCACTAGGAATTTCCCAAAAATCTCAAAACAAGTCAGACCCTAAGGTTCCCAACTCTGGGTTTGGAAATACCTGGAGATTTGATGGTGGAGCCTGGGACAGTGGGGTTTAGGGAGGGGAGGGGCCTCAGTGGGGTATAATGCCATACAGTCCACCTTCCAAAGCACAGATTTTCTCTAGAAGTAGAATAATGTTTAAAAATAAATAATAAGCAATCTATGTAGTCTGAAGATCAGTTGTAATTCCAGAAGATCTCCAGCCCCCCGCATGTAGAGTGCATTACAATAGTTGAGTCTTGAGGTTACCATACAGGCTTACCAGGTGCTTGCTAATGGCAGGCAAACTCCTGGTAAATTGTTGCTGATGCCCACTGGCACTGACACTCATCTGAACAGTGGGCAGAAGCAGGCTACCAAAACAGGAGATGGCAGTCTTCGTTCGATATCACTTCCAGTGCAACCTGGAAGCGCTGGCATCTCACCAGGACAATGTTCTCGCATTCACCCCGAAACTCTATGGATTTTCTTGCAGTAAGAACCTGCCTCCCTTCATCTCTTGCCGGTTGCCAGTTTATGCCTGGCAACCCTGTACACCATAGCATAGTTCAGTGTGGGCAGGTCAGCAGAGTCCAAGATGGCTGTACTGGATGTAATGGGGGGGGGAAACCTTTTTGCCACCACCCTAAGCTTCTTTTCTAATAACTGAGATGGGTCCAACAAGATTCCTAAGCTCTTAACAGAGTCACATAATAATAAACTCAGTACATCAAAAGTGGGATGCATTAACACCCTCCAAACAGTTAGCCTTACTAGAGTTGCTCGTTCTGACTTGGGAAATTCCTGGAGGCTGGTATCAGTGCCTTGGGATGGAAAAAGTTTGGGAAGGGGAGGGAGCTCAGCAGGGATGTTTCACTACAGGGCTTTGGTTTCACCTAGCCTCTATGCTATGCCATCTGACATTTTGTCCATAAGAGCTGATCTTTGTGCTGTGGAGATCGGCTGTAATGCCAGGAGAACTCTTAAGTCCTATCTGGAAGTTGGCAACCATACTGTGTTGACCACCATCGCCATCATTTTTCAGGATTCAGTTTCAGCTTGCTCATCCTCAGCCACTTGACCACAGCAGATAAGATTGAGGCAGAAACAGAAATGGCTCCTTCTGCTGACTTAGATAAAGAAATATACAGTTGACTATCATCAGCATATTTCTAATAGCCAACTCCAAAGCTATGGGTGATCTCATTCAAAGATTTTACATGAATATTGAGCAACATGGGGTGATAATGCTAACCTCCATGGGACTCTGCAAGCAGATCCCAAAGGACCAACAAGGAATCCCAGCTGCCACTTTCTGCACGAGGTCCAATAAAACCAATCTAATCCACACAAGAGCTCTTTGTCTAACTCCAGTTCCAACCCCAAATGGTTCAAGGACCTTGGTTGGTTGACAATGTGAGACGCTGTTGACAGATTAAGAAAATCAACATGGAAACACGCCGCTTCTCAACATTTAGACATACAAAGATATATATCACTGTGCACAGTAAATATATGTTTATAAAACAATTTTATGCTTCATTCTTTTTCTTTTTATATTTTTCAATACTGTTATCTAAATATTGGTATCGAATATTATCAAAAATAGATAGATTATGTTTGCCGGAAGGGTTCTGATGGGACCCTAGACAAGTATGCTGCTATCTTAAGAGCTTTTGTGCTCACAAAGAAAAATTATTGTGCCTTATGTCCTTTATATATACATCATGGTCCTTGAAAAAGATTCATTTGAAACGGGTAAATTACTAGAGTCCCATGGGACTGGTGATAGTGATACTGACAAGGTGCTGTCTCTGAATGTAAACCTGCACACAATGTTATTGTTTGGGTGAAACATATTTTTCTCTATGCATTGTTTGGGTGAAATATATATTTGATAATATTTGATACCAATATCTAGATAACAGTATTGAAAAATATAAAAAGCATAAAATTGTTCTACCATAAACAGATATTTACTGTAAAGGTTCCCTTGCTCGAAAGCCAGTCGAATCTGACTCTAGGGTTGCGGTGCTCATCTCCGTTTCAAAGCCGAAGAGCCAGCGCTGTCCGAAGACGTTTCCGTTGTCATGTGGCTGGCATGACTAAACACCAAGGCGCACGGAACGCTGTACATTTACTGTACAGTGATATATATTTTTGTATGTCTTCCTAACACTGTGACCCTCAATTTTTGTATTTGTTTCTCAATATTTAGCTAAGGTGGTCCTATTTCCATATCATGGCCTGAAACCAGATTGAAAACAGATGTTTCTGCTGACTCTAGTAGACTGTATTGCTCTTCTGTTTCTATGGTTCAGAATACTGAGACATTTGGTGATTTCATACTGTAGGTTTTTATTGTTTGTTTTATTTGGACTTCGCTGATTTTTGTTTGGATATTTTAATGTATTGTTTTGTGTTATATTGTACCTTCCTGTAAAGCAGCAGATGAACTTTTCGTTAAAAGTACCAGATAGAGATAATCTTCTCTCTGTGTATGTATATAAAAATATAAAATTTAAAAGTACTATCCCCAGTAGAATAATGTGCTTATAACGGTGGAGGTGAATTTAGGATATCACTGTAAAGGTACACTGCACTGGGATGATCTCTTGCAGTCCGGGCAAAAGTAGGACAGCCTACTGTCTTTTAAGAGCTGTGCAAAGGTGGAAATTTTGGCTGGTGCAGCTCACCATGCAGTGCTGAGAAAAGCTGCACCCACTTCCTACACAAATATTGACACAACTGGAATTCTGCAAGCTATCCTACCTGGTTGGAGTAACCAGATGCAAGAAGGGTAGGCTGATCTGCTGTTTCTGTAATAGCTGCCTATCCAGGACATTTACCTGTGTTCACTTATGTCAGATAACTCTAATGTTCCAGCACTAAAGATCCAGCTTCAGATCCTCAAGTGAGGCACTAGGTGACCAACACTCAGTCCAATTTACTTGCAGGGTTGTTGTGAGGAAGAAAAGGGATGAGGGGGAGAATGCTGTCACCCCGAACTCCTTGGAGGAACAGGATAAAAGTACAGTTCGGTTTTTGGAAGCGGATGTTGGGGTGGGGGTTGACTTTTGCCGCTCGGGTCAAGATTTTATTATTGTATCCTTTTTTTATTGGCGGCTACCTCAAAAGGTTAAGGGGCAAAACAGAATTTTAAAAGCAAGTTTTATTTATCGATTCCTGTGCTACTACATTTTGCTTATTAATGCAATCTTAGGCTTTGAAACAGGCGCTGGGCTCCGGCCTCTCTCGAATCCTTGCCTTCTAACACGCTCAGCCTAACTTACTAGGGAGCCCTGATCAGATGTACTCTGCGCGCGTTCAGAAGTACTATACCGCCGGCACTGAAAGCGGGTTCAGGAACCGAACTGCGATGAGCTTTCCCCTACAATCGGACCGCCTCTACAACGTTGCTAAATAGCGGAAGAAAAGCAGGCAACGTGGGCGGCACAAGGACCCGGCGCGTCTTTTCCCAAGGCTCCCGTGTACCTTTCCCACTTGCACATGCGCTGAAAGCACTCAGCCTTTCTCTCCCTCGTTCCGTTTCCCCACCGCCTCCTCCCACTGACTGCATGCGCAGAAGACGCAACGAGAGGCCCGTTTGTGGTTCTCTATGCTATTGACCACTTCCGAATGGAAGAGCAAGTGCTTCCGGGTCAGCATCCATCTGACTGATTCTGAGGCGTCTTCTGTGGCCCCGGAAGCGGCTGCTTCGGCCCTTGACGACCTACCCGGCACGAACTGGGACCCGGCCCCGAACGAAAGGAGTGACTGCGGCGCCCACTAGGCCCGTAAGTAGGGGGCGCTGTGAGTCCCTTGCCCCTCCTCTGCCCTCACGCGACCCTTCCCTTCAGCCAGAGATCCAAGAGTCATGGCGCCCCGCCCCCATCCTCGCAACCACGCCCACTCGGAGTCTTGCTTAGGCGTGAAGGAGCTGAGCCGCCTACGTCTGGGAACTTGTGCTTTTCATCTGTCGCCTCGTAGCCCACCCCCTTCTCCCTCTCTCTTGGTTTGTGGTTGACTGCAGTGTGCCAGTAGTTGGCTAGTGCCACCTGTGCACACTTTGGGATGTACTGGCAAGTGGTACTTTGCAACTCCACATGTTAGTCCATAGAATTTCGAGATACTGTCTGCTTTTCATATACGTGCATATGATGTGAGATGCCATATGACTTTAAAAAGAGAGAGAGAGAACTAGTAAGATTTTTTTTAAAATCTGTTTATAGAGCACTTATTAGCTGCCTGTTTCCACCAAAGGTACTTTACAAGTTTATTAGAAAAACACCTTAGAGTCTTGAAGCACATTAGAGTTAATAAATGTATTAAACTTGTGTTATGCTTTTATTCTGCTGTGGAACTCATGGCTGTCTCCACGGGATGCCCAGGGCATCTGGAGATCCAGGTGCTGATGAGCAGTTTGAACATAACTACTGACTTAGTTAGATATTTGTAGCCCAATTTCTCTCCAGTGGGGACCTAAAAGAGATGACATCATCATTCTTCTCTCCTCTGTTTTATTCTCACAATAGTAGCCCTATGAGGTAGATTCAGGTGGGTTGGCCATGTTGGTTTGAAGCAGCAGAACAAAGTTTGAATCCAGTGACACCTTTAAGACCAACAAAGTTTAATTCTGGAATTCTGAAGAAGTGTCCCTGCACACGAATTAAATTTTGTTGCTCTGAGAGGTGCCACTGGACTCAGTCTTTGTCCTATATGGTAGGTTAGGCTGAGAGCAACTAACTCATGGTAATCTTCTGTGTCCGAGTGCAGTTTGAACCTGGGTTTCCCAAGTGCTTGCCTCTTCCCAGTCCCAATGCATTCGTGTCTGCAATCTTATGAGCCATTAAAGGGGGGGGGTTCTGTTTTATAAATAGACCATGGAATAATTATGGACTTGTAGCCCTAGTAAAGCATAACAGTTTTCTGAACCTTTTTGTGGCAGAAACTGTTGTGGATCAGATGGACTGGGCTTCTAGTTCAGGAAGGCCTCTGCCAGGATAAATCTGTTGGTCTTAAGGCCCCACCAAAAAAAAGTTATATGTTGCTGTATCAGAAGAAGAAGAGATTGGATTTATACCCCACCCTTCACTACCCAAGGGAGTCTCAGGGCGGCTTACAAACTACTTTCCCTTCCCCTCCCCATAACAGACACCCTGTAAGGTGGGTGGGGCTGAGAGAGCTCTGACAGAAACTGCTCTCTTTTTTTCAAGAAAAACTCCGACAGAACTATGGCTTGCCCAAGGTCATCCAGCAGGTGCAAGTGCAAGGAGGTGGGGAATCAAACCCGGTTCTCCCAGAATAGAGTCCGCACACTTAACCACTATGCCAAACTGATTACCTTGAAGTTTACTCAAGACAGCACAGTTTATCCTAACTATGAAATTCTGCCTCATTTCAGAACAGAAAAAGGGAGCAGAAGTGGTTCTTGATTTACCATGGCTATGGGCTACTTTGAACAATATAGAATTTTTCTATTGAAAGCTTCTGTGGAAGGAATGTTGTGCAACATGCCCGTGCATAGTGTCATGTGGGAATGGACCTGTGTGTATTCCCACATGTATGGACATGCTGGAAAGCTGTAGCAAGCCACAGCTTCCTGCCACAAACAGCATGCTATGGAGTGTCTTTCTTGGGAAATCATATCTTCTGTGTAGAAATTTTAAGCCACAGTTTCCAGCATATGTACACACAGCATAATGCATGCATATGCAATCATCATATGTGAAGAAATGACTTCATCACACAGTATTAGATATGTTTTAGAAGTGTTAATGTCGGTATTTTACAGTGCAATCCTAAGAATGCATAAGCTTCATTGAATAAACCTGTGTAGGATTCTGAGTAGATGTGTATAAGATTGCACTATGTTTTACATATATATCTTTAGGAAGAATAAAACTTTTTTTATTTAAAATTGTAATGCAAGTTTCTGTTGGCTGGATAATAATGGGTATATGATTGGTTAAATGGGGAGCTCTGCACCTATTCAGGGAGACTGTTTTAGAATCTTGAGGAGTAGGGGTTATTTATTTATTTATTTATCGTATGGCAGAGTTACACTCAGGAAGCATATAATAATATAAAATATGTAACCTAGTTGATACGGTGGTGTGCAGACTAATTGGGCAATCCCCCTAAATACTAATATCTAAATTTTCAATCCACTCAGTCACAGCTGTGGAGAGTTCAAAGACCTCCATCACATCTCCCTGGAAAGCACAACACTCACATTCCTGTAGCAGATGGAAAATAGTTTAGTGGGCTGCACCACAATTGCATTGTGATCCTGGTATTTTGCCCCATTTAAACAACAGGTCTGCACAACTGCCAAAGCCTGTTCTGTTCTTTTAGCTGTCTTCCATACTTCACATGGCAAGTCAAATCCTGCTGGCCTCTCATTGGTGTTTATCAGGTTATGGATATCAGATGGAACTGATTGCATCCATGTTCACAACCATTCATTCCCTAGATCAACATTTTGTGATTGCAGGATTTGTGCAGATCTTATTGTTGAGTGTTGGGATTTTTGCCTGAATAGGCCCGCATCAGCCATGTCTTTGTGGATCGGCAACTCTCTGTTTTCAATTATCTTTCTATATTCAGAGAAATGACGTTCAGGGAATGTACTGGTTAATGATGAAGAGAAAGGAGTGATGAAGACTAGGAAATGAGGAAGACATCTGTTTTTATTGTTAAATCATAGTATAGAAAAGAGAAAGGTTACAGTTAAGAGACTAGAATGTTTTAAGAAAATAGAGATTTGTTACAACTAATCTGAATAGTTGAGTCGCTGGGACAGAGATGTAGGTATGTTAATGTCTGGATCAATCCTTTCACCAGTCTTACTAAAACATAATGATTCAAGTTTAGATATTCTGTGTGTATTTTTCCCCTTCATAATACATTGTATCTTTTAAAGAAAACTGGTTTAGAGTATCTTGTTATCCTCTTAAGCCTATTAGCCATTTTCCAGGAAGTGATTTGTCCCTAAACTAGGGCTTCCCTGTAAGCCTGAGTAAAGCTAACAATATATATTCAGAGCAGCCATTTAATCAAAATCTTTGTGTGGTGGAAGTAGAAGGAGATGGCAGAATAGCGGCTCAATGAAACCCCCTACTTGGATCCATTACTGAGGCAAAATAGGCAGTAGTAAAGTTAGGTGCTAAAGTAGTAAAGTTTGCCATAAACGGCATGCTAAATTGCATGGCATTTCATACCCCCAAACAATGCTCCGTCTAAGCTCTGGAGTCTTGTGAGCAAAAATTCTACTGGCATTAAAGTTGTGAGTGAGCAATTTGATTACTGCACAAATTAGTCAGCTTTGGAGCCATCCTTCCTGAGCTAAGGCAAAAATGTGTGAGCCGGAGGCTAAGAAACTGCAAGCTAGCTCACATTAACTCAGCTTAGAGGGAGCACTGCCCACAAGTGCTTTCCATACACACACACAAACACAAAACCTTTATTGGCATGAAAGCACAAAACATCATGGAAATACGGGAAAATACTAAGATGCATCACGCAGGGGTCTTTTTGTAGAAAAAGAGCTGCAGGAGCTTATTAGCATAACTCATGAGCATATGCCACACCTCCTGACATCACCGGAAGTGTGTCATAAGGCCACACCCCCTGACATCACCGGAAGTGTGTCATAAGGCCACACCCCCTGACATAAGCCTTCTGGAGGGGTCCCCATTTGGAAGAAAAGCAGGGTTATCAATGTGCACAGATAGAGAGACAGAGGAAGAGACAAGTGACTGTTCTTTGCAGTAAAAGCCAGAAGCCTCCTTTAAATAAAATCTAGCTCTGAGCCTCTGGCCTAAGACAACTGCAGATCTGCTTTCCTGAGATCAATGTCAGTAGCAACAAATCAAACATTTGGTGCCCAGATATTTAGAAGCTATGAAATAGCTGACTGATATTGCCTCTTTATTTCTGGCACCACAGTCAAAGGATAGATTTGTCTGTGTAACAGTTTAAGTAGGATCAACTTTTGTGCAGAATTTCTAGGCTAGATGTTACAACAGAAAGATTAGAAGAGCACAGCAGATCTGATAGTTCTGAATAGATTACTGGGCAGGCCGCAGGAGAATTTAAAATCTGGAATACCCAGATTCAAATCCCCACTCTGGCCATAGAAGCTTGCTGGGTGACCCTGGGCCTGTTACATTCTCTCAGCCTAACCTATCTCACAGGATTTCTGTGAGAATAAAATGGGGGAAGGAGAATGATGTAAGCTACTTTGGGCCCACATTGAGGAGAAAAGTAGGGTAAAAATGAATTGAGTAAATTAATAATAAATATAACAGAAATAAGCTACTGGGGTCCCTACTGGGGAGAACAGATGTTTATAATCAATATATGCTAATTATATTCATACAAATATAAAAGAAGTAGCTTCCTTCATTCCTTTCCTTGTTGTGCTCTATAGGTGGGCTGCTTCCATAGGGATGGGGCCGGAGGCCTATCCCGGGATGCTCCTTTGTGAGCGACTGGCATTAAAGTTGTGGGTGAGCCATTTGGCTACTGCATAAATTAGTTTGCTCTGGAGGCATCTTTCCTGAATTAAGACAAAAATGTATGAGCCGGAGGCTAAAAAACTGTTAGATAGCTCACACTTGGAGGAAACACTGGACAAAACCCAGGTGCCCTCAGGAGGTCCACCAGCAGGGCCAAAACTCCAGGAGCCCTCCCACTCTTGCCCCCCAAGCACCAAGAATGCAGAGCATCACTGCGCCAGACATAAGAACATAAGAGAAGCCATGTTGGATC